ATTGGTTAGATTATCTGACAAAATAATACTGTGGCTTCTCAATCTTGGAAGCTTTTAGGACTTAAAGAAAGAGGGAAGGAGGACACATGTATTAAATCATTCTGATGCTAGATTATCGGTGCGATATTTGCGCGAAAATTTTGCGATAAAATTGGTTTTTCTTTTTATTCTTATTATAAACCTCAGTAGTATGCATTCGCGCGCAGATAATACCATTGAGACGTCTCCCTTTCAGCTTTGTCAACAATACTCACTAACATAACGTACATTTATGAACATTATTTTGTAGCAGAAATACATCTTATTCTTATATTTTTGTTTAATCGTTAACCACTGTGCGTGTGGTGTACTGGTGTGTACACTCAGGCCACAGAAGATTTTATTTTTCTGACTCGTAAAAGATCACATGCAGATGTGTTAAACAACGCGTAGGTGACCCTTAGAACATTCGGGTGTCCGTAAAGTATTTCAGAGATAGCCACAGCACGGAAGCTGAACAGTTTAGGATCATATTATATGAAGCCTTTACTGCTAATTAAGAACTGTACTTCAGTTTTTGTAGGAACACTAGTTTTCTCGCAGAGGGCGGGAAATACAGGTAAAATTCATAATTTAAACTGACTTTATGTATAATATGATTATTTAAAATTATATGTCACAAGTTAACAGTAGGACGGAACTATATGCAAACTTTTAGAAGGTAGTCTGCATGGATCTAAATCAAATATTTATGAGATAAAATATCTCAATCTGTGATACGCCTATTTTTATACGTTTAAAATGTAAAAGTGTAAATATTTTAATTCGTTAAACGTACACAACAAAAGTATTACAACAAATACTTGCACTCCGTTAATTTTTGTTCTATCGTAATTTGTGCAGTTATAGTTTACAATAAAAATAATCGGCGTTACTTTCGTAAAATATCTTTTTAAGAATTTCACCTGAAATGACACCAACATAGAAGCTTCTGCAATATTGTCTTTGCGTGTTAGTTAGTGTTAGTTAAGGCGCACAAGTAGGATATAGCCCATTGATGAGATATACAGATATCTGTTAAGTGAAAATGCAGACTAACCAACGTAAAATAAAAGTTTTGTTTGCTTTATTTGTCATTTTGAAATATTTTATTTTAGTTAGGCTTCTCATATCTCAAGCGATAAATTCGTCCATCCGAAACATTCCATGCATTATAATTTATAGTTAGACTATAGGAAAAACACTGCAAAACCCGCGAAAGTTATAAACGTATTTTGTAAGCAGTTACAGGATGATTCCTTGAGAAATGAGTCATAATAATTCACGTTAAAATATATTTATACTAGGCCAAGTGTAAGTTATAATAAGAGACTTTAAAATATGATATTTAAGTTTATAAAATTTGCTTTCTATAAAATACTGTTTCTAAAAGATATAGTTATCAAAACTGCCTTTTTTTGTTATACGGTCGAAACAGAACAGACTGTTGCATAATGTCACTGCCACGTATGGCAAAATTTCAGGGGCAGTCAAGGTAAGAATTTTCTTATCAGACCATAGATAGACCTGCCATTCCAAAGTCATGTCAGTAGTGACTTCCGTACGCCATAAAGTGTTCGAAACAGCTTATTAAAGTGGATAACAAACAGAGTGATAAATTTCGCGGAAACTAATCTGTGTGCTTGCATAGTTATGAGTCGCGATGTATTTAAGTATTCACAAGAAACCAGTTAGCGAGGGTATTCTACGAAAATTAAAAAGAACAGCAGTGAAATTCATCCTGTGACTGAAATGAAAAGCGACGTAGGGCCACGAGTAAACCTTGACAGGTTCACACGAAAATAGGTTTACGTTTCTTCTAATTTTAATACGGATATTTCCCAGCCTTGAGCTAGGAGGTTTTCTTCACGGATTTAGAAAATATAAACGGACAGAGTAAATACGGCACATTTTTAACTTCAGTAGTAACATCGTAAGTCGTTTATGTGATATCACATTGCAGTTCATATTATAGCGATTAGCCTTTCCGTCTCTTTGCTTGTAGGCCTGTTCATTTTATCCGTGCTTCCTTATTAATGGAACATGTCTAAATGTAGGCCTATTGAATGCTTAGTGCATGGACCTATTGATGTAAATGAAAGTATTTGTATTCAAATTTAAAGTATCATTTGTACCCTATATTAAATTCCGTTCTCTGTTGAGAAAGTAATTTACGAAATGTCGTTAAATTTATATTGGACAGTTCTTGGTATTGTTATTCTACTTTTTATGTCTTTATAAAACCGAAATAATTTTTGCCTACTACTTCTGATCGTTACGAATTCGTATATGTTTAATTTTGTCAAATAAGTTAAAAAATAAACTCAGTTGACTACTTTCAGATGTAAAAATTTGATCGTAAAAGTAATTGAACTTGCAGGAATCGTTATGTTTCAAGACGTAAAGTTGAAGTGAAAGAATACAAAACAATAAATTTCAAGTCATTTCATAAGATAATGTATGTTTGTTGAAATGAAGAAAAAATGTGATTTTATTTCTTGGAATGAAATGGTGGGCCCTGTATAACAGTAATTTCTGCCTTAACACTAGACTACATATGCAGCAATAGCAATTAGTTACTTAATTATGAATTTGGAGTTTTTCAGTTGGTCAGTCTGCTTCGGCGTATTATCAGTTTTCAAGTTTCTTGTTTACAATCCAGTTCTGTATGTGGCGAACACTTAACGAATATGCCCATTGTCTACAACAGATATGAATTGTCCTTTAAGAATTAAACTCTGGGCTGAATCATGAAGTCACGTTTGACGAACAGTAGAGAAATTTGTTTGGAATATAGGCCTAACATAACCAGGGTTTGTAAGTGGATTTTTTCAAAAGAGCTATGAGGTTATGTGTCGTTTCTAAATGAGTACGGTAATATGAACATAATAACTACGTTAATCGATTTACTTAATAACTTACTGTTCACCCCGAACCACTTTATTATATTTAAATGAAATATTGAAATATTTACTATTTAATTTTAATTGTTTATCCATCTAGTACGCGTGTATTTCGCATATATATATTTACATTTTGCATGCCACTCAGATACACTTAAGTCACATAGACTATGTTTGGACGGACTAGTTTTTGGTTTTCTTTTCCGGCTACTTTAGACAAATGTGAAACAAAGACGTCTGTCCGGACAAAGCGATTTATACTATTAAGGCCCCGTCGATACCGTTACCGACTCTTATTGAGTTAACAAGCAAGAAGCTAATAGGCCTAAGCGTAAACAGAAACGTGAAGAATTTCATTCAGAAAGTGTAGTCTTCCCAGCACACAGATATTCCAAACGTGTTCTTCAAACCACAACACGTATCATTTTTGCCCTACTGTCCGAGGTTATTTTATTGTTGCGTCTTGGATCATTCTTGAACCAATTATATCCGAGGTTATTGTTACGCAACAGCGGGTTTAAGCTGGCCCAGGACAGGGACCAGTGGAGGGATTTGGTTAATTCGGTGATGAACCTTCGAGTACCCTAAGCCGTGTAGTTAGTTAGTTATATCCTATGACGGACAATGACAGACATATAAATTGTTATTCGCTAGACCGTGAAAAATAGTACTTGTACATGATGAAAATATGTTTAATTAATATTTTAGAATGTCTTAGAATTAATTTACGCCCAGTGTTCTGCTGCATGAAACGGAGTGCGATATAAGGATTTCGTTGTTCATACTATATAAAACTCAGCAACAGTTTACAAACGCTATCATACCGGTCTGCATTAATCTGTAGGGCACATGGCGGCGATCAGAGCGGGCCGTGTGTAGATATATTGTGCTCGACGATTTGTTAAAAGCACTGAATGGTCAATGAAGCCACACAGAAGACACGTCCACGGATATGTAAACGTTATTATCTAAAATCACTTTGAGCATACGAAATTGTCGAACACTACAGATGGCTCGGACGCGAATCAGAAGTGTGAAAATGGACGTTTATTTTGGACAACCGAAGCGATATTCCTTTGTACAGCTATATTGGACGGAAACTTATCGGTCAATTCTCTCTCTACTTCTGCCACAGTGAATTAATCTTTAATTTACACTGTCCATAGTATCATACTGTTGACCTGTCCTTTTTGAAGACGTCGTGAAGTTATATTTAAGAAAAGTCACTGCACTGTTGTTGACGTGAATAAGGAACACTTGTAAGACAGCCTATTCTTTGTTGGTGATACCATATGCTTCCTGTTGTACGTTCAGGAGTTCTCGAAGAAGGTGAGTAGGTTTGTCAAAACTACAGTGGAACCGAACCCACAGTCCAGATGACATTTCGAGTGAAAGTTTATCAACCAGTAAAATATTTCAGAGGCTAGATATGTTGGTGATTAAGCAGTATGTGAATGAGCTTGATGTTTATTAAACGTCGAATTATTGTTTAACAAACATTTACCTTCAAAACTTTGATAAGGCGCATAATATTATTATTGACTCAATATAGATGCTTACATTTCACATCTTTTGTAAGATATGTGTGTATATTTTAAAATTATGGACGAAAGTTATATAAAATATTATTATTAGAAGAATTTGAATAAATTAAAATTTTATCGTAAACAACGTCTCTCTATACCACGACTTACAGAAAAGAAGGAAGCCGAAAAGGAAGTCTTCTGTTAAACAGAGCTTTTGTTTTCGATAACCTGATATATTCTTTAAATAATCTCACAGTTAAAAAATACTTGTTACTGGTCAGTAGAAGTGTTTCACTTCTGTTACAACCAAGCACAAGTTTTCTTTGGTTCCAGCCTGTCTCAGAAAGTGTATGATCCTGACAGCTTAATGCATACAAATTGTAGGATCCCTTTTGTTTTCACAAAGGGCAGTCTAGTCCCTGTATGACGAATGGCTGGAAGGCACACATTGTGTTCAATTGTTTTCTGGAATAAAATTTAACACTGATAGGCGTATTATTCTTTCTCTGCAGTAAAATGTTTTAAATGTAAAAAGTCAAGAGACATTTTTCCAGATCATGTTTACCTATTTATGCTTTAATAAATTGGGACCCTAATTAAATGTGTGAAATCATTGTTTTTCTTTAGGCATGTTAATTTGTAAAAGTAGGGCGCATATGTCGAAATTATGTTCACTAAATTTTCAACATTATTAGAGAAAATGCATCAGGTGGACGGAGTCACGTCCAGGTAGTTTAGGATCGGTGAATAGTTTCTATTCTCATCCGATGAACCATAAAACAAATCCGAAACATAGCAGTAAGTTATTACGCCAAAGTTATAAGGCAAGTAACGAGTTTTCCGATGCAGTTCCTTAGATGTGATTCTTTCGTGGGCTGTTCAAAATCCGCAACCAGCCCGTAGACCCTAATCTGCTCAATTCTGAAACTATTTCTTCAAAGTTCTAGCCGTTTTCGTCAAACACATTCCGATTAACAACAATATTTATAGCAGAATAATACCAATTTCTCAAACTTTGTACTTAGGAACTACTCATCTCTGTCCTCGTTCTCCGTCAGAACGTATTCAAATGCAAAATATATAAATACTAGTTTAACTTATGTGAAGTCTTACCATTTCCGGCAATGTTAAAACAGAATATACTTTCATTCTGAACCAATGCTGTGCTTTTCAGAGTGGCCATAAGTCGTAACTTGATATTTTTCTATCTAAGTCGGGATCCAAATTCAGGCGAGAGAATGCCAGCCGATGGCTGCAGTAGCGCTGAACTCAGCTGCTGCTGATGACCGGGTGCGTGTAATGTTGTGACGATGACGCGGAAGGATGCTGGGTGTCGCGGTGTCTCCGTAGATCTACTTTGCGCTGGAATGCCTTATCACAGAGACCACAAGAGAACGGCTTGTAGCCCGTATGTTTCCTCATGTGTGTGATGAGGTTTGATGATTGGCTGAATGCTTTACCGCATACCACACATTTGTGGGGCTTCTCACCTAAAACAAAACAAATAGCATATATTTCGGCTGAAGTTTTGCGCTACTACGACTTTAGTCTTGACTGGGAAACACATTATCGAGATTCTTTAATATATTTCCTCATTATTTAATAATTTGGGGATTATGGATTGAAAGCATCATTTTCTAAGTACCATTCATATTCGTTAGAAACGGTGTAACCTTTCTGTTCAAAGATCGTGGTTACATGAACAGATATCATATTAAAAACAGGAATTTACAGCAGTGAAGGTGAGCTTTTTACGTATCTTGAGCTATTATGGAAGTGACCTACTTGTAATAATTCTAGTAAGTGTATAGGTCCAGTATTAGTTTATTTATGTTTTCCCATATGCAAGTCATAACACAAATAAATGTAACAGAATGATGTATGCCACGAATCTAATTAGTTCAAGAAGTGTCGAAGCATTACAGAATACTATCTATTATTATTTATAACTGGTAATATATCGAGAATGGTCGAGGAACACATCCGGTAGGGGTCTTCGGTATTAACGGTGATAAAGTATTTGAGTTATATTACACAAAATTTAGTGCAATTGTAAATTAAGAGACATTAGCCAGAAATAAAACATGTTATGGTCTGCGCATAACAATTTAAGCACGCCATTTCTAGTTACTGTGTCTTGTAAGCGATAATGTTAAAGTAGGACATTCTGATAGTTTAGAAAGAGATTTTAAGCCTGCTAGTTTACATTTTCCAATATTTTTTAAAGTTCCTTGTTTGTTTCTTAGTCGTAGTTGTTGATAGGCAGTTGTTAAACGAGACAGAAAAACACAAGGAACGTATATTTACATAAATATCGCTTGTGCAAAGAAAACTAAAATGATTCATATAAACGTTGACTTCGGGTTTTGCTTTGTGTTAACAGAAACATTATTTGGGCGATTTTTATAAGGAACTTCATGAATTCGTGACCCACTGATAATTGGTTCGGTGTTTTCGCCTGTATCAGGGTTTTTTAACCTTTTAAGACCTAGACATCCTAACTTTTTATAAGTACAAATCGAATTTGTTTTTCTAGCATTACAATTCGAGAGAAACTTAAAGCAGGGAAATGCAAATTATCCATACTGAAACCCATACTTCTATTTGCAAATTTCATCAGGTTCATGTGACTAAACGCACTTGTAACTGACAGCTATATACGAATCTTTTAACAATGTATGCGTATGGTTTTCTTCAACATGCAAATTCCAAGGACTTTGCAGTATCGTGACTTAGGGAGACTTTCATATTTAAGGTTCATCAATGTTTAATTTCATTTACGGTTTTCGAAATTGTTCTGCTTGAAACGGATTTTAAAAATCAGACATATTATACTGATGTCTCCAGCAGGCTCCGTATTTACCTATAAAGTACATGGCTTTTAAATCCCACAGTTTCGCTACATTGTGCCTAAATAAAACACACCAAAAAAAAAACATTAGATTAACAAAAATTCAGTACCATTTATCGGTATTAAATCAGTATTTCAGTTGTGCCCCTTCATATCAATTTATTAAAACACTTTACAACCTTGTGAAGTTACAGAGCATAGCCGAAAATAAGACTGCAGTTTCCACTTTTAAATGTTAGCTGTTAAGGGAGACTGTGTAAACATATTTTAGAAGAAAGGAAAGGGGTCCTTTTGACAAGACAATTTATTAAGGTTATACGGTCGGCCTTCTAGAGTATACTGACGTTGCTTTTATGGATTTGAACCCAAAACAACTATCACAAAGCCATGTTACACAATGCGATGCTCACCATGTCTCTAAAGTGTGCGGTGGGCCAAATAGGGATAGCTACCAGTGCTGTCCTAAAGGCACGCCGGACTTTTAAAAGTTAATTAAACACATTTCATGACATTAGTAGAAGTGTAACTCTCATTGTTACACTTTTAAACTTACAAATTCCATTATGCCCTAATATAATACTTAAATTTATAATAATTGAAATAAAACACGTGGCCTTTACTGTGTACCCAGATAAAATAAATTTTTATTGAGATTTCAGCTCTTTATTACCTCAAATAAACTCACGCATTGTCTCAAATAAGTCACAATTGCGTTCTTCTTTTGTATTGTTCTCGATTTATTGTTCACGCAATTTTAACATCAATAATTTGGCGTAATGCCAACTTAATACTCCATTCTGGGTCGTGAAATGACGCAGAAAACAGTCGAGATAAAGTGCAGGACTTTCAGGCATGGTTCTAAACAGATTCTCAACTGAGTCTGTGTTTTAATAAATGCAAGACTTTTAGCTGTGCTGGGTCTTCATGTAGTAGATCATGAATATATGACACTTTAACATTATTTGGATAGTCACTGACAGGTGGCCATTTATTGAATTGAGTTTGAGTCGTTCTGCTCCTGAGGATATGTTGTTACAATGTGAGTTGTTATTACGCCAATGTCGTTTCAGATCTGATGGTTATCTTCACAAATAGTACTTTCTGTGGAAGCAATTTAATTTCTTGTTGCGATGCTAAAGTGTGTTTGGATTCACTCTTTGTGAAGGCTGAGATGAAAGTATGCGGGCATCGAGTCCTTCACATCACTTGAACTTGAACTAACGCCATCAAGGCAATACGTCACCCCCATGAGGCCGGCCACGTTTTTCAAGGGCTGTCAGATTGATTGTCAATTAATGTATATTTTGCAATAAGCATTCTTTCGTGAATGTCAAAGAGATTGCTTAAGAGGATATTAAGAAGACGCGAACAGATTTGTGTAGCGGTATCGTTACAATATTTGGTGTGACTCCAGTTTGAATATTAATCGTGTTACAGACGGAAGCTACGTTTATTAGTCGTTTGTCTTATTTCTCTATCAAAGGACATTCAGTTGTTGGGCAAAATATTTCATTTACAAGTAACACGTTTGGCAAGAACGGAAGCGAATAACCGTGTCGATCTTTCGTTGTCTGGGACTGTCTCGGAATTGGAAAAATGCTCCGATAGGCCTCTTCTCGAAATCACTTAGATTTTAATGCTCGCGTTTCCTGTCGGCATAAAGGATATTACACTGAAGACGAAATTGGCTTATGATTAAATCGTAGGTTTATGATATTTCATTATCTTGACCAGTTTTGAAAAGTTGCTAAGTACGATAATGACTCTTTCAACGCGGAGGTTCGTATGTCGAAAATGACGTTTCGGTGAATCAGCACTGGACGAACGCGGGCGTGGAAAGTCGAAGCAAATAAACGATAAAATCATAAATAAAGTGTAATGACATTTATTTGTGAACAAAGTGTGTGATTAGGATTTAAGGTTCTCACGGCTGTGAATACGAAGATGGCTATCTTCTGGGTTGTAGCGCCGTGTAACCTTGTACAAATTTACAAACTGAGTAAATTTATAAAGCGTCGTCGCAAAGTTAAGAATTAAAGTAGAATATAAACGGAAAGTTAGAATTTAAAATAAAATATAAGCGGAATTTTAGTTTAATATCCTGCTGTTATTTCTAAATATTTTAAGTTTGTTATGTTTTAGAAAGATTTATTAAGTATCTTTATGGATTATTATTGCATTCTTGTGAAGGTACGTGGTCATTCATATTGTGCCTTTAAATTGAATGTATAAAATACTAACATTTAATCGATTAAAGGAACAGACTGTTCGAAACTCGTAATATAGTGGCATTGGTACTAGTAATATGGAATATGATAGCGTGTAAATATTTACCGGTACATCACTGGACATAAATGTATGTTGAGGCAGCAGCCAACCTGTCCACGCTTTTGTTAGATTGCTTTTCTTTGCGCCTAGAAATGGCAGGTTTTATGGATTTCATGTCAGTTCCGTAACTTACATGTCTGTTATAATATTTTTAAAAGGTTCTTACGATTTCTTTTTCATTTCCTTTCGTTTTAAACAGATGAGACGTAAGCCGAGCAGGTTTTGTTTGCTGGAGGAACCGTTGAACAACATACAAGTCGTAAGGAAAACAAATTACCTAAGATTGTTTATGTAGCTCTTGGCAGGGGTGTCACAAATTTGGCGCTTTTCTGGACTGGTGTACGGATGTGTTTAGTTTTCAGTTGTGTATAGACGTTGAAAAGTATCTTATTG